TCCCCTTCCCTAGTTTCTGCAATGCAGAATTCTTCAGAAACCAGGACACAGTTCCACCCCCTAGTTTAAAGAACGCTCGCTGCCTTATGTCTAAAAAGTCCCTCGACAATAACCATTTCTGTGCAGATTGTCTACCCACCCAGAAAGCGATGCCAGCCTTGAGATACAAACAGGTCTTTGTGCCACGTTGCATATCTATTTTTGAAGAAGAGAGCCATTCTCTCGGGTAAAACTGGCAGCTTCCTGCCACATCCACCCACATTTGCTAGAGTTCCTTCTTGCAAAGCCTTTGACAACCAAAGGAGGAATTGTGGTTTGGTTTAGGGTTTGTGCGTGTGTGTTTGTTCTTCAAGAGATCATAGAAACTCACTACATACGAAACACTGCTGCCCTAATTTTTCCAAGAATTTCCCAGCCCCCAAATTATAGGATGCAGGAATGTCCTGAGTTATTTCAAACCACGCACACAATGCAGCAAGATTGTTTGTGGGTTTAGGATGTGCCGAGAGATGAGTAACCCAACGCTCCAAAGGCAATGCAGCAGGCCTTTGGTCTGCAGTTTTTAAGCCTGCAGTTTTCAGATCATGTTCCTGTAATGCAGCAGTGGTCAATGTGATGCGCGGATGAGATGCAGAGTCTACGGCAGAAGCAGGAGGGCACGTGAACTAAGAGCCAGGGCTGCACGCCCACCAGGGCCGTCTTAACCATAGGCGTTAGGGGTGCGGGGCACCTGGGCGTCGGGCTCTCAGGGGCGCCAGGCCAAGAGTCCAGGGCCCAAGAGTTGGAGTCCGAGGAAGAGCCCGCCCGTTGGAGCACCACGCCAGGCTCTTCTGCTGCGGGCAGCTTTCCGCCACGAGTTCGGGGGCAAGCGAGGCGCTGAGGCGGCCAGCCAACTCTGCCCTCCTGCGCACCTGGGATTGGCATAGGGCCATGGAGCGGCCCACCCAGGGTGCGCTGCCCACCCAACGAGGCGTCCGACCTAGCGCTGCCGCCTCGCGCTCCTCTGCGCCCTGCTCTGCCCTGCCTGCGCAGCTTGACAACTCTGGCCAACCGGGGGGGGGGGCGCCAGGCAGATTTTTGCACCCCGGCGCCGCATATGCTTAAGACAGCCCTGACTCCCACCTTGGCTATTCATGCTTCACTGTTTCCAAATGCACTAGGATAATTCTACCCCAAGTCTTAGGGTGTGGGCTACATATGTACTATACTGTCACTAGGCTGGGCTTTATGTCTTTGAAGATATTTCTGGCGCCTGCCCAGGCCCAAGCAGTGTTGGTCTAAGGGAAGACCATTATCATGCTGGGAGTGGAGAGAGTAGATTATGCTTGAGGATGTTCGGGGGGGGGGGAGGATGTTCGAGAGGCCAGATCTCTTTATAATATCTTATTGGATTTGCTGGAGCCAATCAAAAGCAGTGCTAGAACAGACAACATTCACAACAGCTGCTGGCATGCCAAGATTGGGGGGAGGGAGAAAGGGAGGGATGAGTGTCTCCTATGAAATATGCTCTCTCTCAAGTACCCAAGGTACCCACTGGTATTTCCTTTGCATAAGCAGGAGAAGCCAACAGGATCTAGCAGGAGGAAAGTGGGGCAGGGGAAGGATAATAATCAGGGGCAGTGAGATCCAGTGCCGCTGGCAGAATTACAGTCCTCAGAAATCAGGGAAGACATTAAGTTAGTCTACTGATTTTCAGAGTACATACCTGTAAGGATGGATGAATCTGTCACTTTTGGTTTCTCTCCATTTCTAATTTTTCCACATCACATCACTGCTTCGGGTTGTGATTTCACACACACACACACACACACACACACACAATCACCAGCACTTTAGTATGCATTTCTGTTAATATACCATTTTTGCAAAGTATTTTCCCTCATATACATTATGCATGTTATTTTCACAATTGTGCACATCCTTCTACACATTTTATTTGTTTGTTTGGATGACTGTACCACAAAGTTCACTGAATTCCAAGGGATAATTGTTTTCTGGTTTCTGTGTCATTTCACGAAGGTCAAACCAGTTAGGTTCTCATTAAAATGCAACCCATGCCAAATTTCTCCCATAGCCCTACATACAGTTTGTCCTGTGTGGCTGTATGTACAGATCACAGAGCCAGAATCCTAAGAACCGCTTGCTAAAGGACAGCAATCAGTCCTCCAAGTTGACTGGCTATAAGTACCCACCCTGGAACCTTATGCTGAAAGGCTCTTAACAAATATAAAAATCAGAAGCAGCTCCCAGGGTGCGGCAGTACCTCTATGCTAGCTTCCCAGGAGGTTGGCCACTGCTGCTTTCAGAGAGAGGTCAGAGTGGTGTAAACTCACCAGCAGGAGCCAATCTGCTCCTACTGTTGCATTTGCACTTCGCTAACCTTTCTCGCCCATCCCCTTCTTCCTCCCAGTGAGGAACAACATCCCACCTGTGGGGGATTAGCAGTTCCACCGCACCAAGTGAGCCTTTGACAACCATAAGAATAAACATACAAATCTGGCACCCAGAAACACAGTAAAGGTAAAGGGACCCCTGACCATTAGGTCCAGTCGTGGCCGACTCTGGGGTTGCGGCGCTAATCTCGCTTTACTGGCCGAGGGAGCCGGCGTACAGCTTCCGGGTCATGTGGCCAGCATGACTAAGCTGCTTCTGGTGAACCATAGCAGCGCATGGAAACACTGTTTACCTTCCTGCTGGAGTGGTACCTATTTATCTACTTGCATTTTGACATGCTTTCGAACTGCTAGGTTGGCAGGAGCAGGGACTGAGCAACAGGAGCTCTCCCCGTTGCAGGGATTTGAACCGCCAACCTTCGGATCGGCAAGTCCTAGGCTCTGTGGTTTGGACCACAGCACCACCCGCGTCCCCACACCCCTGACCATTAGGTCCAGTCGTGACCGACTCTGGGGTTAAGACGCTGCTAAAAGACACTATTTCCTCCCCAAAAAACAGACAAGGCTTTGGAAGGTCAGGAGCTGATACAAGTTTGTACCTTGCTCAACTAAATAACATGTGGACACTGTTGGGGGGCGGGGTTGGCCGCAACTTCCATAGCCTTCCACTATGACTGAGAAGATTTAAAGATGAAGTGACTTCTGGTAAGTATTTGCTATGAACATAACTAACCTAGTAAGCACAAGCAATGAATGTGTGTTAGGCACAGAAGTGCCAAGTTCCACCCAACAATGCGGGGCCCGTCAAGCAAGCCCTGCCACCACTGTGAGGCCCAGTGATGCCCGCTGCTGCCAAGGTCCAGTGCCGCTGTGGCAAGGCCTGGCAAGGCCCACTGCAGCAGGATTGGGGGTGGCTCAGCCCCATCCCAAATGACTTGGGGCGGCCTGAAGACACCACAGCCCTGTGGAGTTGGCACCTATGGTTAGGAAGCACAGCTGACCAGATCTCCACTGGAACCAAAGTTTAAATAACCGCACACCCTTCCTCAACCTCAGCAAGACTTGCAACTGTGCTAAAAGGAAAGTGCCCAAAGATTTTCAACATCAAAATTGCTACCGTTTTGTACGAGAGTGTATTTTTCTACATTGGACTTGTGATGTATTGTAGGAACATTGGAAGGTGTCTAATACTGAGCCGGAACATTGCTCCACCTAGTTCTGTGTTCTCTACCAGGGGTGTCCAACGGGTAGATCGTGATCTACTGGTAGATCACCGGGGTGTTCCAGGTAGATTGTGGGATGACTTCCCCCCAAAAGTGGAAAAACGGAGGCCTCTCTTCCCCCAAAAAACTCAACAACTGGGGTACGCCCCGGGTGTTATGCCTAATGGGGCAATTGTGGCGTTGGCGGCCCCCGTGTGAGGATCACCTTGGTGGTGTTGGCCATCACACGAGGATAGTGTTGGTGGCCCCATATTGGAGGAGATAGCTACGCCCCCTCCGCACAAAAAGCTCAACAACTTTGGCTGCCCACCCCCACACACAAAAAGAAAGAAAAGCTTGCCATTTTGGGGGTAGATCTCTGCCAGTTTTTTATAGTAGGAGTAGATCACAGTCTCTTGGGAGTTGGACGTGCCTGGTCTACACTGACTGGCAGTGAGATTTCAGACAAAGGTCACCTCCAATTGTACCTAGAGATGCCACCAATTGAATGTGTTCCCGTTTTCAAGGGAACTGGCCCGAACCATAGCCCTTCCCAACCTTCTTCCAAAGGAAGGGAGCATAAGTGGGTTTATCAATAAGCTTCCTCATGAGTAGGGATCTTAAGCTAGCTCTCCCTGATCCAAGTCCAACACTCTACATCTGGTTCTGTGTAAACACGAACAGGATTGTGCGGCACGACAACTGCATGAAGAAAAGCGTTAGAAACTTTTTGGAATGGTATTGCTACTGTCTTAAGGAAACTATTCCCCATATGTTGCATTTATTTGTCACAGAGAAGGGGAACTTACAAACCTCCAGGTGGAACTCCAACACCTGTCAGCCCCAGCTAGCATGACCAATGGGCAGGGATGATGGGATTTGCAGTCCAATATTAATATCGGGTGGGCTGCAAGTTCCTCACCCCTGATTTATCACAAGTATATTGTGTCTAAGCCCCTCTCCCAAGGAAGCAGATGTAGCACCAACTTCATTTTGGGAGACACCTCTGCCAAGGAAGCGGAATGATGTTGAATAGGGAAGGTTTGCTGCATCTCAAAATAGAGTCACAGCAATCTGCATATGTTGCATTCTACATATAATGCCTTCTTCTTTTCCTCCCTCTTTCACTGCCTGATAAAGCCTTTCTTGCAATGCTTGTTTCAGCTTTAAGCGTTTTTATGTAGGAGGTCTGCCTATATTGATTCAGTATGGCCATAAATAAGTACAAAACAGATGGCACTTGGGGCAGTTCGCTGCATCTGGAGTTCTTCCTCTCTCTCTCTGTCTTCCATTCACTTCCTCTCTTTCTCTCTCTCTCTCTCTCTCTCTCTCTGACACATGCACACATCATCATCATCATCATCAAAACAAAATAAAAAAATTCCTTCCAGTAGCACCTTAGAGGCCAACTAAGTTTGTTATCGGTATGAGCTTTCGTGTGCATGCACACTTCTTCAGATACAGATAATGATTCAGATATCTGAATATATGATACAGATATCTGAAGAAGTGTGCATGCACACGAAAGCTCATACCAATAACAAACGATACGATACAATACGATATATTTATTGTCATTGTTCCATACAGAACAATGAAATTGAAAAATATACATAAGACATTCAAAACCCCCTAAAAACTCTGAAACCCCATTTTAAAATACAATATACTCCTATAGAGACTCCTTATACTGCGTTTAAAACTAGAATTGCAGTTGGGTGGAAACTGTTTCTCAGGCGGCTAGTCCTGGTCTTTATAACCCTGTACCTTCTTCCAGAAGGCAGAAGCTGAAAGAGATCATTTCCGGGGTGCGCACTATCCTGCGCTATCTCTGCAGCTTTCTTATGGCACCTGGCCATAAGATTTGATCCAAGGTGGGAAGAGTGCACCCAATTATTCTCTCTGCAGTCTTTATAACTCTGGACAGCATTGTTTTTCCCCTGACCGTCCAGCTCCCAAACCACACACACAGACCATAAGTTAATACACTCTCCACAGTACAATGGTAAAATGCCATCAACAGTTTCTTTGAGAGATTGTTTTTCCAGAGGATTCTCAGAAAACATAACCTCTGCTGTGCTCTCTTCATCAGATCTTTGCTGTTTTCTCCCCAGGTTAGGTCAACTCTCAACTCCATTTCCAGAAATCGAAACACCGTTGGTCTCTAAGGTGCTACTAGAAGGAAATATTTTTATTTTGTTTCGTCTATGGCAGACCAACACCTTGGCCTCGGTCCAGTATATCTGAAGGAGCGTCTCCACCCCCATCGTTCTACCCGGACACTGAGGTCCCGTGCTGAGGGCCTTCTGGCGGTTCCCTCACTGCGAGAAGCCAAGTTACAGGGAACCAGGCAGAGGGCCTTCTCAGTAGTGGCGCCCTCCCTGTGGAACACCCTCCCACCAGATGTCAAAGAGAACAACCACTACCAGACTTTTAGAAGACATCTGAAGGCAGCCCTGTTTAGGGAAGCTTTTAATGTTTGATGCATTACAATATTTTAATATTTTTTGGAAGCCACCCAGAGTGGCTGGGGAAGCCCAGCCAGATGGGCGGGGTATAAATAATAAATTATTATTATTATTATTATTATTATTATTATTATTATTACCTACCTGTATCATCATCATCAATAGTCCCACTCTGGCACTGTGCAACCATTTCAGCACCTATCTCAGTTAAGCCTGCACACAGTCTGCCTGCCTGCCTCTGCAGCTCCCATCTTAGGATGCTTTAGCTGAGATTTCTGCCTTGCGGGGTGGTTGAGCTAGAGGACCCTCCTGGTCCCTTCCAGCTCAACGATTCTATGATTCTATGACTGTTTACACCCAGGAAGCCTGCCACCTTGAGCACTGTGCCCCTGGTGTACTTTTTGGAACGTTTTAAGTCTGGAAAAAGAGAAGAGCTAGCAGATTAAAGTCTAGGGTTGCCATAAAAAAAACCAGGACACCCTGAAATGTGTTGAACTTTTTTAAGGAAGACCCCAAAATCCAAAATTGAGCTTTTTTTTCCCTCCCGAAAACACCAAAATAACACATTCCATTTACTTGCCTAAGATCCACCGCCTTCTGGCAATTCCCCCTGGACATCACTTCCACCTTTGAGATCCCGGTAATGTATGGAAAAATCCAGACTTAGCAGCTCGAATAAAACTCTTCCCACATCCTTCCTCAACTCTACAATTTTTTCAAAGCAGAGATGGGTATCCCAGCTGCTGAGCCATCATCTCTATAGATTTTTTCAGATTTTCAGTGGTGTTAATGTTTGTGATAACAACAGGAGGATAGGGTGGGGGCTGCAGGAGAGACCCTAAAGGCCCATAGGCTGAACACATTGGCTGAATGCATCCACTCTAAGCAATCTGATCCCTCCCACGGGTTTCATTCAGGAATAATGAATTGTCATTATAAATTTCATTTATCATTAAAGTTACCATAGGTAAAGTAATCTTATGAGTAGATAAGAGTGGATTGGTGGTTTGTTTTTTATGATGGTGCTATTCTAACAGAATAATAATAATAATAATTTTAAAAAACCACCAGTGTGAATCAGACTGGTGAATTAGTGTGAATCCTTGCAAAAAATAGTTGGGTCAGTGAGGAGCCTGGGCAGAATCTAATCAGTGAATTGCAAAAAAAGAAGAAGAGTAAATTATGACTATAGATGCACTCTTGCAAACTCTGGAGTTCGTTGGCTCTTCAGACCCTACGTTCTTGTTTCAGGCCTGTAATTCTTTATTTTTTGACTAGGCACTGTCTTTCTCTGAAATATTTTATAGCTGCCATAAAAAAAAAAAATCTCCCTTTAAATTCGACTTCCCAGACAAGCAAAGTGTAAAAAGACTTATCTGGAACCATTCCTATGGGTGAATTCAGCATTGTCAGTGCCCAACAACAGAAGAGACTGGAGGTTCCAAAATATCAGAGGAATCTTTTGCATGCAAACTGTGTGTGTGATGTCTGCTTTTCTTTCCGCTAAATATTCATTCATTGCTCTGAAGCCTCCCCAACTGCCTGAGCTGGGCTCTAACTGAAGTGCAGGAAGCTGCAGAGATGGACTATTGAGCATCTGAGAGCAGTACACTCACTGATTATTATTATTTTTTATGGGAAGCCCTTTTGAATAATAAAAATATTTCCATGCCAACTTCTTTCAAATTAAAAAATACTGTTCTAAAAGAAAACAATGAACAGCTGCCTAGCACATCATAGACAGTAGCAGACAGCATGTTGGGAAGGCAACATTCACCTGATCCTCAAAAGCATTAAAATTATTTTTTTTCATTTATATGTTGTGTTGATATTTTTATTCTCGAAATTCTACAGCAGCTTGAGACACCATTCATGAAGGGTGATTTAGAAATATTTAACATGTTCGATACATTCCAATGCAAATGTCAGCATCTACTACATATTAACCATCGCCTGTTACACAATCTAAAATATTCACTAGCTGCTCCTCAAAATGTTGGTTCCTCCAATCCTGGCTGTTGGACTAGCCTTCTCTCCTTCTCCATTTGTAATTTCCTTAACCTAAGGTTGCCTATCAACATCCATGGGCCCTTGAATAATAGAGACATGGTGCCTAGGTCATTCACCAGCCAATTCACGCTGACGTCATCAGTAATGAGGTCAGCACCATGAACTGTGTCAAGATGTAAGTCTGCAACAGGAGGTCAGGAAAGCTAGGCCAGGTCAGCAGCACAGACCCAGGGAAGGAAACCTAAGCGATCCATTCACCTTCAGTACATAACTGAATAACTAAGAAAAGAGAAAATTTACATCAGCCAATACATCTATTCCAGAATTGTCTAGGACATGCTAATGAGACTTTCTCGCTTCTTTGGTAAACAGAGACATAAGGAACATAGGCAGCTGCCATTGGTCAATCTAGCTAAGTATTACACTGATTGGCAACAGCTCTCCAGAATTTCAGGGAGGGTGTCTCTCAGCCTGATCTGGGAAGTACCAAAGATAGAACCTCTGATCTTCTGCATACGACACATACGCCCTCCACTGAGCCACAGCCGTTCCCCAGGGCCGGATTTTGGTTTGATGAGGCCCTAAGCTACTGAAGGTAATGGGGCCCTTTATATGTCCAGCTGTCCTTTGTCAACAACAAATTGCCACTGTTTTTTGTGTTGAATACAGTGGTACCTCTGGTTACGAACTTAATTTGTTTCGGAGGTCCATTCTTAACCTGAAACCGTTCTTAACCTGAGGTACCACTTTAGCTAATGGGGCCTCTCGCTGCCGCCACGCAATTTCTGTTCTCATCCTAGGGCAAAGTTTTTAACCCGAGGTACTACTTCTGGGTTAGTGGAGTCTGTAACCCGAAGTGTTTGTAACCTGAGGCGTTTGTAACCCGAGGTACCACTGTATATGCTATATGATAATTTATGGACCTAGTAGGTATCTAAAGCCATTTGCACACAACAAATGCGCAAATAACAATTTGTGGAGGCCATTATTTACACCATAGGAGCTTACACAACACAAAACACTGTTGCTGTATGTAGGTTTTATTTTATTTTTATCTTATACTTTGGAAATGAGTTTTCCGGTTGTAAATGCTTCCGGAAATGCAGGCTTCAGTTTTCAAACATTTCGGAAGTCAAACAGTCTTCCGGAACGGATTACGTTTGAAAACCAAGGTACCACTGTATAGATATAGATATATAGATATGGGTTGTGTGAAAGCTGCTTCTCCCTTATCCCAGGATAACTGGAAAGGAAGCCACACACATTTGCAGAGTTGTTCTGAATACAGTAAATTGTCTGGAGCAAGAGCCCACATATGGTCATAACAGAGCTGGATATTAAGACACCAAGAGATACACCAGCTGAATGGTGGTGGGCCTTTCAAAGTTTAGCAGGCACCCCGAATATCACAGGGCTGTGCCACTTACTAGAACATTTATAGCCTGTAATGCACATTATTAGGAGCAGTTGCTAAACGTTAAAATGTGTTCCCATCACGGAACCTTCGGTGCGTTTCCAAGAGGCAACGTAAATTATCTCCGTTCCTTATGTTCATGACGAGTCCAAATCCTATAAACTAGGCACTCGGAATTCCCATTGTCTTGGAGAACTCAATAAATCACACGCAAAGTCTTTTAGTCTCTCCAGTCATTAACGTAATGAACGGGTACAAACTTAAACGTCTTCGTTGTGATGAGCATATTTGCCTGGAGAGATATGGAGTCAGTGCTGGATGACCTCCGTTCCATGCAGCTGAAGCACAGACAAACATTTGGTTCCAATCTCCTAATATGGCAATAGATGCAAGAAACCCACAGCCAAGGATTCATGTGCTCCCCTGTTATCTCTGGCAAGGTCAGGCCATTGCAAAATGTGTTCCATACACCCAAACAGAACTAACACGCTAGATTACTGGCTGGCTAACAGTTGTGTTCAGAAAGGCTCCAGAAGCTTCAGTAAGTTAAAGTATGTTTGGACAGAGCCCTAAACACACTGCACAAATGTTGCATTCTTCCAGTCATATTATCCTCTCCTAGTTCAAAATCTCCTCAGATGTTGTGTCCATGGCTTATTCTTT